ACCCTAATTTAAAAACTGCATAAAGGAAGGCGCTGGCCAGGTTGCTCCGTTGGTTAGAGTGTCATCCCCCTATACTCCAAGTTGGCGGGTTCAATCCCACAGTCAGGGCACATACAAGAGATCAACCAGTAATACATAAATAAGTAGAACAACAAATCGTTGGCTCTTTCTCTCTCTCTCTCTCCCTCTCTCTCTGTCTCTTTCCTCTTTCTTCTCCCTTCTTTCCCTCCCTCCCCCCTCTTCTCTCTAAAATCAATTTTAAAAATAAATAAATAAAAATAAAAAGAGGTATGGGGAGGGAATGGGGGAGACAGGGGAAGGAGAGCTTGTAGCAAAATGGTTTTCTCTCCTGTACTCCACCCTGTTTATTACCGCTGCCACCAGGGTCCTAGCGTCTTCTGTCATACTCAAGAAGATGTGATTTTTATTTTTCAAAACTTCAATGAGAAAGTGCCAACTCTGCAGCAGAAACAATAAGGAAGCCAAGCGTTACCATTTTACTCCTCCACTTCTTCATCTGTTAACCTGAGGAGGAGGCTTAGAGGACTGGGGCCTTTAAAAATTGATGGACTGGAAATTAGGACACAAGGGGACTACCCATCTCTCAGGCCCCCTCTTCTCGAATTTTCCTCAACCAGCATTGAGGGTATTCACTGCACTGGCCAAATAGAGCTATGATCGTTGTTTATTAATCACCAAATCTAATGGTCAAAAGTGCCACAAGTACAGTCTCCTGTGTCTTCCCCACGCAATACACAAGCACGACACCCTGGCTCCCCCTGCTGTGCAGACAGCTGACTTAACCGGGCCAGTTGTCTCTCACTCACCTTGTGCTCTCTCCCCCCATTTTCCCGTCCTCCTGTTGCTTTTCAGTGGCTGCTTCAACTCCCAACTCCACTGCTGGTGCGGCCATGAACTCTTTGACCTCTCTCGGGACTCTGCAAGGACTCGCGGGAGCCACAGTTGGACTGAATAATATTAATGCACTCGCAGGTACCATAAACAGTGAGTATTTGCTGCTCTGGTGGACAGCCTTCCCCCAAATTCTCCACAGAAAACGGTCAGCCAGAAGTGACCTAAAAAGGATACGTAACAGGGAGAACTAATACTTGGGATGGAGGAGCGCATGCTTTGATAGGCAGACACTGTCTAGGTTCATTTTGCCACAAAACACCCAACCCCTCACCACCCCCCGTCTCTTCTAATATGCAGTGTGTGCATATCCATCCATACGTTTCTGGGGTTGGCAGACATGTGTAGGTTTCGAGGGTTTGGTTGGGTTTGGGATTTGTTCTGTTCTTCTGAGAGGCAGTGTGCTAATAATAGAAAAATTGATGGACCAGAAATCAGGACGCACGGGTCCCGCTCCGAATCTGGTAGCAATTACTTGCAGGATCTTACGCAAATCACTGCCCTGCTCTGAGCTTCATTTTCCCATTTGACAATTGAAAGTTCTGGATCAGATGATCTGAAAGGTGCCCTCCAGCTCTAAATCCCAAAGATTCCTGCCAGTTATGTAGAGGGGAAGCGGGGCCTTGGAACGAAGGAAGTCCAGCTGAGCAGAGAGGGGCCGCTGCATACAGACGTGGTCTGGAGTCTTTATGAGGCTTCACGGGCTGGTTACTGAGCAGCGCAGCTCCAAAGGGCTGTTGTTCTGCCCCCACAGGTTGAGGCAGACTCTTACAGAATCACAGTTATGAACCGGAGAGACTCACCCACGAACCCTGGCCTCTGTGCTAAGTAGCTTATTCACTCTGGCACTTCAGACTTGGGGGCACAGTACCCACCAGCAGATCCGCACATTGCAGGCTCATGCTTGGCGTTGGCTCCTGCACTGGGGAACAGCCCTGAGCCCACAGAGGGGCACCGTGTTTGTCTTTCCCTCAGTCTGGTCCCCGCTGGGTGCCTGAGAGCAGCCACGCCCAGCAGTTCCCTGACAGCCCAAAGATCCCAATTTGGAGATCTGGTTCCCCACTGTGCAGCCCAAGCAGAAAGTTGCCCTGTTTTAAGTCATGATTCAGTAAGTGGACTGTTTTTAAAGGGTGATCGGGCAGTACAATTTTGTTCAAAAGGCAAGAAATAAAAATGCCAGTGAGTCTATACTTTCAAAGCTCAAAAAGAATACCTTGCAATTTATTTGGTGAAAAGGGAACCCAGAACTCATCCAAATGAAGGCTGTTATAATCCCGATAAGAAAATCAATCATATATTTAGAGGTAGGAAATATTCAGGTTTTACTAAATCATTTTACTCAGATGCTCTGGGAAAGACAAACGAGAACATGAACTGAGTTTTATCTGACCAGGGGCCAAAAATGGAAGAAATGAGAAACATGTTTCCTTCCAGATACGATGGCTCTCGATGAGCAAATAGCGTATGAAGTGGTAACCGTGCGGCAGCACAATGTTTTATTCCAGTAAAGCTGCCTCCGGCGCCCCATCAGGAGCCCTCATTGCCTTGACTCCTGTTTCTGACCTTGTTCTGCAGACGCTCCAGCCCACTTGTCCTTGCCCTCGGTTGCAGGTGTGTGTTCGCACACAGCCCTTCATGCTGCTTCTCTTGCCCCAGGACCTAGTTCCCCTAAAACAAGGACTTTGATTTGATCGCCTGCCTGTCCTTGGTCTGCAAAGTAACAGGCCAGTGGGAGTGGCTGTCCTCCTCAGCACGTGCTCATGATACGGTGTCGTCCTTCCATCCATGCGTCCGCCTCTCTCCATCCTGTTGTGTCGTACCTGCTGGGATTCCCCATCGTTACCGGGGGCTAGAGAGGGACTCTGTGAATGTCGGAGACTCTATGACTAGGTCTCGTGTGGGGTCTGTGTTGTACAAATTTTGCTTCTGGCAAGGACAACAGGCTTCAGTTGTTGTTTTTTAATTCTTTGCCATTGGATTAACGTAAGTGTGTGTAGCTCATGGGAAATGAAGAATGTGTCTGGTTTCAAACAACCCCTACCAGAAAGGATGAACCAGGAGAATGTTTAATTAGACCAAAAATCCTGATAAAACAAAAATATGTTCTTTCTGATTTGGGGAATGTTACTAGTGCAGGGCTATTGAACAATCCCAAAAATGGCTGGGAGCTAATATTTGCTTCTTGTCTCAAATACAAAGAGAAAACCTTCTAATATATGCAGAGTGTCCCCTTTCAGACCATTCTCCCTCAACAGATAGTATGGTGCTACCTGTCCTACCGAATCATTCTCAAAGCAGGTAGTGAAGAAACAGCTACCTGGACAGAGGCAGCTTCTGAAATAGTTGGCCTCAGCTTCCCTATCAAAGAGCCAACTCTTTTCCATGGACAAAGGAGCCAAGAAGTAGGTAGATGGAATCCACAGTTCATTCCCACACTCATCTTAGTGTACATTTTACCCTCTTCCCTGCCAGAGGCCTCTCACCTCCCCCTTGAGTAAAGTCCTGGTTAGTAGACGAGTAGCTAAATTGAACTGAGCTTGATCTCCTTTTCCTTCCTTTATGCATTCGTGAATGGAGGGGTGGGAAAACAGTACAGTACAGTAAAGCTACAAGCCGAAATTGTCCAGATCAGAAGTAAGGAGTGTGGGTGATTCACTAACTGGGCTCACTTCTGGATTATTTGAGGGTTCTCCAGGCATGTTTTGTATGTTCATATCTAAACTAAGATGAAAATCTTTTTGCCCATATGTCCACCCAAGAATCTATATCTGGTTTTGTGCTTTTAAATGTATTTTTCCTTTTTAAAAAATATGGCATTAAGCCTTCCAAATGGCTTATCCATAGAGTGCTTAAAATTAGGATGGTCTGATATAACCAGCCACAAATGCCTAGTGAATAGTATTTATGGAAATATTCTTTTAAAGGAGAGAAAAGAGAAGATGCATTGGGCATATTATTATTATTGTGGCTTTGTCACCTGTTATTGGCATCGTGAAATGACTGTTTTAATCTGTATCATTGGAATATACAAAGATATATGTAGTTAGATACATACACGAGCACATACAACCCCACACACACTTGTGGCCATATTAACACGAGCATCCATATGAATGCCACTAATTGTGCCTCTTCACACTCATCTGCCCTGGTTCTACATACTTCATACTTAAGTTCTCATTACCAGCTTGCAGCTTAGAGGGATATGCTTCAGCTACACCAAGGAAGCTTACCTCAGTAACCAAACTTCAGATCTATGTTCATACATTCCTCACTTTTGCTCTATTTTTGTTTGGCAAGAAACTTAGCAGAGTGGCTTGAAAATAACTATGGTTCGCATGTGGCGCTCTGCCTCTGATCCTGCATTTCAGTGCCACCTTCCTCGCGGCCACAGAGATGTTCACGCTCCTATCTATGGTGGGCCCTCTCTCATTTTCACAAATTTACTCAGTCATCTCACTGTTCCTTAGGTCTCCATCGGGTGAGAACCTTGGAGGGCAGTTAAGTTTAAAGTACTTATATTCAAGATACACACTGACTTTATTGACAGGGCATTTGCAAAGGTTTCCCTGGGGGAGCTTGCCACACCTGTCATTCTGCCCCAGCCTTCGCATCCAGGTGCCTTCCGGGGGAACCGGATTAAATGGGATGAAATGACCGATCCACTTGGCCTTTTCAAAGAAAAGCCCTATTCTTTTAAGGGTAAAAGCATTTTGTTCAATCTAACCTTCTTCCAACCTGTTTCTGCTACCCAAATTTTTAGATGTCATCAGATCCCAGTAGCTGAATTGGCCAGTGTTATCTTTGATATGACTATTTAATATAGAATAACAGTAGATAACTGATAGGAACAACTCTGAGAGGTTGAAATCTTCCTTTGATGGACCTTCAAATTCTGCCAGGTAATCAGTCACCTCCTCTGCCTTGGGTTTTGGCAAATACAACAGAACTTCCCAGTTTTTATTTTAAATATTCTCAATGCGTTTCTCTTTGTTAGAATGTGCATCCCTATTTTTTTGTTCAAAAGGATGGTTATACCATGAAGGAAAGCTGGAGAGGCCCTGACTAGTCCCCTTTTTGGCATCAACACCCCTTTTACTTGTGCCTCTTCTGCTACCTCCCTCCCTGACTCGGGCAGGTGAGGCCAGCCCTGCCTGTCTCCACACACATGGAATCGGCTGAAATAAGCAGAAACCTCCAGAAAGCAAATTTGCCCTGAGGTCGAGTCCAGAAACATAGCCAACCACTGTGATGTGTGGGCAGGCAGAGTGTGAGGAGGAGGCTGAAAGGTCACTGGCCGGAGCCGCAAGCCACACAAGGACTCCAGTCCTAAAACACGGCCCAGCCTTTCAGGAGCACGAAGTGCGTGCTGCTCCTGTGTTTCCAAAGGGGAAACGGCAACAGAGGGAGAGAGGCAGCAGATCATTCACCTGACCTGGCCAGCAGCAAGGGCATGTCCCAGACAGGAAGGGAGGCAGGGCACCAGTGACCGTACCCAGTAAATCCCACCTGTGTGTCTAGAAGCCGTGTCGCCAAGACTACAGATCACACACGGGAAGGCATTCCCACACGGTGATACATGGGAGACCTGAGAGCTCAGGGTCCCTGAGCAGGCAAGGCACCGTGGACGGGCAGTGCTTTCAACCACCCCACGGATGTCAGGGGACCTCGGAGACATTCCCTGTGGTGGAGCTTCCGTGTGCAGCCCCTGTTTGTCAGGCTGCTGCGTTCCACACAGCTCTGTAGGCCGCGAGGCACACCTAGACCCGCACACCTTGGGGTGTAAGTGGAGTGGCAAGTGGCTGTTCCCTCCTAGAATTTCTTCCCACCCACACAGGAGCTTGACTTCCTGGAGGGCTTAGCCCATGACATTCCCGTCTGTCTGTATCCCTAGCACCTATTTGCAGCCTGACAAAAATGAAACCAGCAGCGCTTACCAGCTGTGCACAGCTCTGCTCGAATTATTTTACAGCCTCCTCTCACCTCTCAGAAAAGCAACACTGATGTTTCTTTGCATTCACACAAATACCGGCAGGTGAAGATGAAATAAGACCAAAGAGGAAAAGAGAGATGACTCCCCAGCCTTTGAGCAGCCATAGGAATAGCAGGGATAGAGAAGACAAGAGGCAGTGGGGTACCTGTGATGAGTTGTTCTTTAAGGGACTGTTTAATGAAGAGGACAAACTATTTCCAAGCTCTTAGCACTAACTTGCCTGACCAAAAAAGAGGGAAAAAAAAGAGAGAGAGAGTAAACTTCCTCATGAGAAGAAATTTAAAGCAGAGTGAGCAGGACATCTGCTGGCCACAGCTTTCTAGCTTTGTGCACATTCTAGATCTGCTTGGCTTCCTTTTCAGTGGGCTTGTTCCATTCTCATTTCTTTCGGGCTCTCCTGGCCACTCCACCCACCCCAGTCCTGTCTGTACTTGGTGACATCACCCAGGGCCCAGTTCTGTCTCCTCAAACCTCCAGGAAGAATACCAGACCTGAGACACTATGAGATAACTCTGCTGAAAGCAGTGGTCTCATTCATGTCTTGCATGTAGTTCTTTTCATTGAAGAGATGAAGTTGAAAAAATAACCAACTCGTGTGGAGTAAGGAGAACATTCCCCACCTCTGCTTCCCGGGGGTGGCAGGAAAAAAACTCTGACGGGAGTGTCAAGGTGATGCTGGCCTTGGATTCCTCTATATAATTTCTAAACATTCCTTGTCTTAGTTCTCTGTTCTCACTGGACTTCTTACCAGCTTTTTTCACAGTCATCTTTGCTGTTTCATAGCCTTAATCAATAGCCCTAATTCCTTTAAGGTTTTCATTGTTTTCAGTGAGTTCTTCCCAGAAACAGATCCTTAAAAAAAAAAAAAGTATTAATCGTAAAAGGAACTAGAGGCAATTATGATGTCACCTCTTCCATTTCCTGAGTTCATATGGAAGTTAACACTCTATAAAGTCTTGCTTGTTTTGACTCGGTATTCAGGGAAAATATGACACAGTCAGCAACCATAATAGAGCAAAAGAGCAGCCAGGATACAAGGAGAAAAAATGGAAAAGGGTGCTGGCCAGCCTCCAGTTCACATCGGTGACTAGCCAAGACCCAGCCTGCGGACACGGTGCCACTTGAGTTGACTGAAAAACGTGACACAGAAGCTCTTTTCCTTGGCAGAAGCCCCAGTTACATGGGCACTGGCTCATATTCGTGTGTGCATATTCTGTCTGTCTGCGTGCTGCTAAAAACAAACAGCCCCATTCCACGTCTTGCCTCTCATCCTGGAATAAGCAGCTTCAGTCTCTGCAGTGAGGGGAAGGGCCCGCACTATTTCCTGTGCCTTAGTTCTTCATCACCCAGCCTATTCCTAGGCTCCTAGCCCTGCCCACTCTCTCCTGCTGGTCAGGAAAGTCAGTTCACGGAACTGCCAACCCACTGGTGTACTGAGCACAGAGCTTGACTTCCTCACCAGACAGCTGACAGGAGAAAAGTTGTATTTCTTCCTTTTCTCCTCAACCTCCTGGCCCTATAAGAGCACAGTAAATGCATTTAAGTGTACAGATGTTTCAGGTCTCTGCCAGTAATGGTTTTTACCTGCTTCTAAGCTCTAAGAAGCAGAGGTTTTATTTCAAAAAGATAACCCCAGTACTTGCCAGTAGCACCCTGCATGGAATTAACATGTGCTGTGTCACTGTAGCACCTCAGTGAACGTTGATCACCGGCCTAGGGAGAGAGGGACATCATTGCTGGGGGGAGGGGGGGGGGAAGAGCTTTACAGCTGGGGATAAACCACAGATTCGCCCACGAACACAGGATAATTGTTTTTTTACCGTTGTTGTGAGCTGTGACTTCATAGTTTCATTTTAATTTCATGTTGGTTTCGTTGGTGTGCTAGCTGCATGCTCTTGCTGTTGTATTGTGTCAAATGATTCTCTAACTTCCTTTGGAAAGCACTAATGAAAAGTGCTATTTCTCTTCTCTATTGTTGGGTTTTTTGTAAAGTTGCTCAAATGCTCTCAGGTATGGCGGCTCTGAATGGAGGACTTGGCGCCACGGGCTTGACGAATGGCACAGCAGGCACCATGGACGCCCTCACCCAGGCCTACTCAGGGATTCAGCAGTACGCAGCCGCGGCACTGCCCACTCTGTACAGCCAGAGCTTGCTGCAGCAGCAGAGCGCAGCGGGCAGCCAGAAGGAAGGTACGTGCCGCCCTCAGCCCAGGGCATGGCCTGGTGTGGCCAGCCCAATGGGCAGCATTCACCGTCACAGCATGTTTTCAAAGACATTAGACTGAGCCAGTATCATAGAGAAAGCCATTGTTTTATTTCTGTTATTTGTGTCTTTTTTTTTCTTCAAGAAACCTGACAAACCTAAACCATTTGTTTTGATCTTCTTTCCTGTTCAGTCTTATATTTCTTTTATCTTTTGATTTAACTTTTTATCTACTTCTTAAGATGGATTTCTCACCCACTGTGTGTTTATGCACCATTACTTAGTAGTTGCTGCCATCAAAAATTGCCAGGAACCCCCTCTCCCAAACCAGCATTACTCCCTCCCCCCTTACACGAAACTCTTCCTCAGTGGGCAGGATGAAGTGTTCCAGCCCTGTGGGTGGAGCACTGTCCAGCCAGTCCTGGGTTCTCAGCCACACATGCTCTTACTAGTAGTAGGCGGTGGTTTCCAGGTTAATGATAAATCCACTGTTGGGATCGACTCTGTCTTTAATTGGGGGTCTTCTGGGAAAGCAAATAAGTGATGGATTACCTTGCTTCCCTGCCAGTAAAGTAAAATGAATGCCAGGAAGTTAAAGTTCAGAATAAATTAAGGCTAATTATAAAATAGTTAATGAGCTAGTTGAAAAATAGTAAGAGCTTGTCTCTTTCTCTTCCTTCCTTTTGGTTTCTTCTTCCTTAATTGAAGTTGTTTTAAAAGCAGAATCTTCAACATTGCATTCATTCACTTTCTGACTTGTTAAGAATCCTATATAATAAAACCCTAATATGCAAATCGACCAAATGCCGAACGACCAGAATGACCGGTCGCTATGATGCGCACTGACCACCAGGGGGCAGACGCTCAGCGCAGGAGCTGCCCCCTGGTGGTCAGTGCGCTCCCACAGGGGGAGCACCGCTCAGTCAGAAGCCGGGCTGGCGAGCGCAGCGGCAGAAGCGGGAGTCTCTCCCGCCTCCGCAGCAGTGCTAAGAAGCAGCCAGCCCATAGGCAGTAAGGAGGGGTCCCGGACTGCGAGAATGTGCAGGCCAGACTGAAGGACCCCCTGCCCCAGTACATGAATGTCATGCACCGGGCCTCTAGTATAGAATAAGAAGCTAGAATGGGGAAATATTGTGGACATTTTTTAAAGTTTCTTTCCCTTCTCCTTTATCCTCACCCCATAATTCCAAACTGGTTTTGTCTAATTACTTCGACTTGAAACATGGCATTCTATCATAAAGAAATAGAATAGTTTTACTTTACAAAGTTGTGAACTTTAAAGGGGACACAGTTTTAAAGATACTCGTATGTAAAAAAAAAAAAGGAAGGGGGGGAGGGTGTCTATTATAAATAACAGATTGTTTAAAATAAAAGGTTTTTGAAAATCTAAGTTACTTTTCATTATTTCAACGTTCTCTTTACTCCTAGTTGTGGCTGCTATTGTAGATTTTTTAACACATACACAGCCATTCAGACAACTATTTCCCCAGGTGTGTGGAGATGCTATGTCATAAATACACAACTTCACAGAGAAAAACTCATTTTGAGGTCCCTTTGTCTGGAGTCTGACTACAATGGTGACAAATAAGGGCAGCAGGAGGTCCTGTAAGGTAATGACTTCCTTAGAAGAGACCCTGAAAGCCAGTCCCCCCACTGGCGTTGTAGTTACCCCTCCATTACCCAGCAGTGTCTCTCAGTAAACTGTAGACCCTACGTTGCTGGGGAAAATGTCACCAGAAGACTCAAAACCCCGTGGGTGAAGGATAAAGTCTGGACCCTGAAATAACATCTCAGCTGCTTTACCCCAGCCCTGCCCCAAATTTAGTCCCTACCTTGAGTTGTCAGGATTGCTGATACAGTAGCAAACCCTCTGAGATTAATGTAAAATAGTTCGAAATGATGGTTGCCAAATGCAGATTACATATATTTAGGTATTTAGGCTACCAGTGGCATGGTGTAGGGTTTTCTATTTTTTTGTTGATGGTGTTTTTTGTAGTTATTTTTAATCACTTCTCATCTTTTCATACCTTCTGATCATCCTCTTCTCTCCTAGCTAACATGAACTCAAGAAATATAAACCATCTTAATATTAGTTTAACTAAAATATAATGCAAAAGACAAGTTATAATGGGAAGGGAAAGAATCTCATTATATAGAGTTTTAGATTTGCTACTACATGGTTCCATCCTTTTTTCAGGAGAGTTGAAAGTCAGCTTGATGTTTAGTCATGTGCCCTGGTGCATGTTAGCCCACAGGAACACATGTATAGCATATGTGCAGCATATGGTTTAAAATCTTCTGAAGGGTTATGGCATCCCTCTTGATCTAAATCCAGCAAAGCTGACCACCTTTCCCATCTACATACCCTCTGGCTTCTTTCATACCTTCCCAAGCTTGCAGGAGGCAGATCTCACACACACACACACACACACCAAGTAGAAAGAGCTTCTGACACCCAACACGAAGCCAGTGGTCTGATAGAAACCCCCAGGGCTTTATAGAAGTACCATATGAGAACCACAAACATGAATAACAACCAGCTGAGAGCAACAGTATAACACTCAAAAAAAAAATTTTTGTTATTGACCATTGGCATCGATGGCAGTAGCTGCCTTTCTTGCACCCAAGAGAGGTTTTCCTTGTTGTCAACTTTTTTTTTCATTTTAGTGTTAACAGTGTTGGTGGGAAAAAATGGGGCAGCGGGGTCTGTAGTAGGAGGTGGTGGCACTTTTGAGAAAGTGATGACTAAGAAGACAAGCCTCCTTGGGTTGACCTGTCTTCATTTTTTTCCTGGGCCCCTGTCTGGCAGGAAGGGACACATTCAGACTGTGGCACAGCCTAGCATGCCAGGATTGTCCACATAGACAGTAAATGTGCACTTTTCTCCCCAAGCTTCAGGAGGTGAGATGACCTCACAATTCAGGTTAGGTACCATTAGTCCTCATTTGTGAGTTTGAGTCTTTTATTTGAAAGGAACATCCAGATGTGCCCATATGTACACTACAAAGATGGGTGTGGCAGAGTGCATTCAGAACATCCTTTTCCAATGTTTTGGTTCTACATCTATTCACAGTTTGCATTTTTAAGAGTTTTCTTAACCCAGGAAACATTTGGGGATCAAAGCCTGCAGCTGTGTCCCTTCACACCCAGACCGCCCCCTTTGCCCTGGGGGGATGTGTCCCCGGAAATGTGAGTGGTGCCGCAGGTAAACTGGTCACGCTGACACTTAAGGAAGAAGTTCTCGTGTCCAGCTTCAGAAATGTGCTTCAAGAAGGTTTCCAGCGAAAAGCTCCTTTGTTAGAACACCCACTTTATGAATTTTTTTTGTAGAAAGAAACTGGTTTAACTTTTCTTTGCAAAGGTATTCATTCCTTTTTTTTTTTTTTTTTTTTTTTTGAGTTGTTTTTTCTTTTTTTTTTGTTTTTTTTTTTTTTTTTTTTTTTTTTTGTACAGAGTTCTTTTACCCCATTTATATTTCTTTGACTCATTCCCATGGACTCCCTCCCCCACTGCAGCCTATTCCCTGGGCTTCTCAGTGGGGCCGCCAGTCCTGGGTCCTCTTCTGGGAATGCCGGTTAAGCTTCCTTGAACCAACTGCAGAGGTTACTTCACCAATTTTATGAACTCCCTTCCCTCCCAGACACCATGACTAGAGGCATCCCACTTGGGGCCTCTCCAGACCCTCTGGGAAAGAATGTGCCACTAGCCCCAGCACCCTTTGAGCTGGAAAGCATTCTTGCCTATTATATATTAGAAGATAATTACCTTCTATCAGATCATTTGGATTCTCTCCTTTCTCCTCTTTTGCTCCTTTTAACCTTCAGATAGTTTTTGTGTAGGCAGCTAGAGAGGTGGGAGGATGAAATGGAAAGAACCTCTCCAGCCAGGACAGCTCACATCTTCCTCACACTGCCATTGTTTCTTGCATTTGTAGGAAGTGGTAGCTGAGAGTGAAGAGCCTGGCTTAGCTTAGTCTTTGACTCACTGCTGCAATTCATGCATTCATTTCCAAGGCTAATTCCCAGTGGTATAATTCCTATCACAGTTGTGAAACTCTAGCTACCTATTTTTCCCTGCCTTGACTCATTGCCAGTCATTTCTAATAAAGATGATTATTAGACTGTGTGTTAAGAGATTTGGCAAATCAAAACTGGATGGATAATTAGGTAAATGATTGAGAAATCCAAGCAGCATTACTGCTATATCCATTATTCTCAATTGCTGCAATTTGCTTAGAATGCACAGGACACTCTCTCCCCTGAGAGACACTCTATACATAGAGTCAAACACGGCCACCCAAGCAAAACCCGGCCTGTGTTCTCTCCCCCACCCCCCACCCCCCGCATCATGTCTGCCACCTTCACCCTACGAAGGGATTGAAATATTGCTCATGTGCAGTAAGCAAATGTGACCCACAGAATATGATCAGTGAAAAAGAAGCTATTCTTAACCAGCATTTCTGAGGAAATGAGGGAAAGCTGGAGGATGTCTGCTTTCCTAAAAGACACATCAGCACATGATATTTCACCCATCCATTCCGTACTCTTTCAGTATGAGGGAACGCGAACGCTTAGCCTGCCTGTTATTAAGGCACTCCTAAGAGGAGGCGGTGGGAACTGAGAAGCGAAGAATACCTTACTCTGATTTTTGTTTCCTCTTTAGGTCCAGAGGGTGCAAACCTCTTTATTTACCACCTTCCACAGGAGTTTGGAGACCAGGACATTCTGCAGATGTTCATGCCTTTTGGAAATGTTATCTCTGCTAAAGTCTTCATTGACAAACAGACCAATCTGAGCAAGTGCTTTGGTATGCAAAAGAAACCAAGCTAGACTGTTACAGCACACCCCCAAGTGAGGAGTCACGGGAAGGAAGGTGTAAATGGCAAATATTGTAGAAGTCAGGATAGAGCCTTCCCTGTGTGGTGGTGTTTTCTGGGTCTCTGGATCCATGTAAGCAGAGTTGGAAAAGTTGTTTCATTAGAGAGAGACACACATAGACAGAAGAAAAAGAGAGGAAAGAGAGAGAGAGAGAGAGAGAGAGAGAGAGAGAGAGAGAGAGAGAGAGAGAGGAGAGAAGGGCTGTAGAAAAAGGAAGGATCTAGGAAAATAAACCAAATGCCCATACCTTAGGTAATGTTGTATACTGTACTATGGATATATCTTGCTACATATGTCTACTAGTTGGTCATTGCAGAGCAACAGCAGTTTCTTTAAACCTCATAGACTGAACCACAAACTCTGCCCAGTGGGAATACGTTAAGGACTTGCAGTGTAGGCTGTCCTGGGACAGAATGGCACTATGGCCACCTTACTACTAGTTCCTCGCCCTGCCAGGTGCGATGTCACTGAGCCACTGTGGAGGCAGGTGACACTGCACCGGGGCCTGCTGTTCTGCACCTCAGTTCACTGCACACGAATGCACATCTCGTCCCAGGAGCCGAGTGCCCCGGCCGCCCCCACGTGTGGCAACAGCAGCACAGGGGTGGGGGGCTGGCTGACGTAGCCCGTGATCACAGGAAGCACCGTGTTGTGCTGGGATTCTGGAGCCAGAAGTCGGGATGCCGGGATCTGCAGACACTGCCTGGACGGATGCAGAGCATGCAGGTGCCGGCACTGAGGACAGGGGAGACTCAGCTCCTAGCGGCTGGCTGCCATGCCCTCCGTCCTCAGACAGCCCAGACTTTGCCTCCCCAGGCGGTTTTTGCCCCGAGAGAGGAAGGCACTAATGCTTCACACCAGGAGGAGAGCACTCATTACATTATTGCTTGTTTCCTTTTTTTCAAATCCCTGTAGTCCACAGAGGAGTTAGAGGCCAGAATGTTCAGAGTCTGTATTACACACGTGAGAAGGTCTGGCCCAGTTTGAGAAAGAACATTAGCTTGAGTCACCCCTCCAATTAACTAATTCGTGTTGGTAGTAGGTATTAACAGGAACATAAAATAAAGCAGAATACCTATGGGCCACTGGAAATACAGATAATATTCTATGGTATAAAGAAAAACTGCAAAGGTTGGGGGTTCTCAGACAGCCAAAACTCAAACTTAGTATCTGGCCAACTAATAATGGGCAACCAGAATGCTTTGGCTTCTAAATCTCCATTATCATAGCATCTTTCTAATCTCTGTGCTACTGCCCAGGAAGGTCTGAAGCTTCTATTGTTAGGGGAATTAGTATGTCAACCACTTCAGTCAGTTTTTACCCAAGTGGAAGGCTGTCAGCCTGAACCCATTACCCCACGCGGCAAGCGTGTGAACCCTGTAATGGTTCAGGAGACCGGGAAATGGAAGTGAGTTGTTACACAGGGTGAGTTTCATAACGAGCTTACCTTTGGGAGCTTCCCTGCACAGGTTTGAGCCAGACTTTTAGATTCCTCGTCACCAAACAATATCCTGGGTTTATCTGGAGATTGGAAAGGGATTGAGCTTCGTGGTGTGATTTTGAGAAAATACTGCTTTTAAAAGAGCTTATGTCACAGCCCACAAGCTACTTAACCAGTGTGTTCATAATAATGCAAGTTATAGAAATGAGTATCAGCAGACAATTGTATTAGTATAATGGGCGGTGTTTTCAATTTTTATTAAAAGACATAGCATCCCATACCGAGGTTTCTCACTGGGTCAGTTTAATTTCTTGGGGAACCAGGTTTGCTAGTCATAAGGTAGGACCCTATTTTTCATCCTAACCTCTTGGCCAGGTTTTGTTATCCATTCCACCCTTGACCCATTCCCATTCTTCAGTCATCTTGCTACTTCCTGATGAAAACTCACAGGGCAAGGAGAAAATCTGAGCAGTTGTCTTAGATTCAAGATCACATTTATTGGGAATTAGATTTCAAAAAATGTTAACCACCGTTTTGCAATATAGCCTGCCTTCTACTCATGTTTGTCAGCTAAGAACTCTGCTCAAGATATATTTATTTCCTTTTCTTCCTCCTCTAGTGTGTGAAGAAATTTTCTCTTTAACTTTAAACTTTAATAGTAGGTATATGGAGACGCTTAACACATTAAGCGCCCTGTCAGTCACCGGTGACTGACACTATACTTTCCGTCCAGAAGACAAAATAGGCTGGGCGCTTATCGTGTTAATACAGAACCAAAATGCAATTAGTATGAGAGCTTCCTTTCACTACCAAAAGTAAGTAGGGACTATACAAGCTCAACACTTTTGCATAGGCATTAACTAAAGAAACCACTGTGGCACCCCCACACCTGCCCTCTCCCACCCCCTGGTGCTAGAACAAACTGTGTGATCAGAATTGTTTCCTAATCTTTACAGAGCATCATCAGTTTTTCAAAAGCACGCCCTTTCTCTTTTTTCTTTTCTTTTCTTTCTTTTTTTTTTTTTTTTGCGGTGTTGAAACAGACGATGCTGGGAAGTATGTTAGGATGGTTGTTAAGCCCTGAGCTGTTTAGACTGTTTATTTTTCCAAGACTCCTGGGAATACAAGGGCAGCAATTTCCATTCGGTTGAACTCAGTGGAGCTTTGAAAATGGAAGTTAAGGCAAGGAGAAAGGCCCAGCGTTGCCTTGGTTGCCGAGGTGCCTGCCTCTCAGTAATAATTCTACAATGTTACAGACCAAGTATAAGTTATTCTAGCCTGGTGTTAACTCACGGAACCCATCCTGTAGCCAAGCAGGTGTAGGCTCTGTGACATGGATGAACTAGAATGAAAGCTGGCCGGGGTGTCGGGCAGCACACCCCATTAGCCGGCCCTTCCCTTAATTATCCTGCCTTTTAGGCTCTAGCTGGTTGGGACATGGGGGCCTCTGGGCCTCCCAGCCCCGCATGTTTATACTTCTTATCTGAGCAGCACTTACGTTCCCGGGGTTCTTGCAGAAGGATTCCAAGGGACCTTAAACACAAGTGGATTTGGCTGAAATCAGTAAGCAAAGAGACTAAATTTACTCAAACATCTGAGTTGGAGATTAGCTTTCTGCAGAGGAGTTTTCTCATCAAACCCAATTACCCATCCAGCTCGCTTTTTCACAGCTTTTCAGTGGCAATTTCTAATGTTGCCCCTAAAACGTGCCCTGTTCACCATGGGATTGGCCCATGTAACCCACCAATTGCAGTTACACTGTACAGGGGGCCCCGACCCCCCTTCTCTAGGCACCACCTCTCCATCTTGATGTCTGCCTTCCTTCCCCTTCTGTTTTCCAGGTTTTGTTAGCTACGACAATCCAGTGTCTGCACAAGCTGCTATCCAGGCTATGAATGGCTTTCAGATTGGCATGAAACGCTTGAAGGTCCAGCTGAAGCGCTCCAAAAACGACAGCAAACCTTACTGATCCTAACCCCAGAGGCTCCCTGCTCTTGTTTTAGCTTTCTTAGGGTAAGTCCCACAAGCCAGCCTGTTCTCACAGGGAAGGCAGAGGAGGACCACATTGCCAACTTTTACCAAGAGAGACGGTTATTTTTACAATAAGGCCTCCATTTCCCCCTCCCACCCCCAATCCAGTTCGCCATATTTCAACTTGGGCTACCTTGTTTCTATGAGTAAACTCCTCCAGTTGTGCCACTGTATTCTCCTTTGTTTTGCAATTTGAATCTCCACTTTTTTTTTGCTTTCTTTTTAAAGGAAAACATACACAAATAAATGACATCTTGATCATTTAAAAGGCAAACAAAGGCTAATGTGCAATTCTAACTCAGAGACCCCCTGGTGCCCTGAGAGCACTGCCTGGAGAATTCACCCCCTCCTGTCCTGTTTATCCCTAGGAGGGCACCAGCTGTTTAGAGGTCAAGGTGGTGGCCTAGAGCAAGAGAAAAGCCAGGAGAAGCACTTAAAACAATACAAACGTCTTTCCACTACATTTGGTTTGTTTTAATAAGTAGGCATTTATTTTAGGGTTCAAAGAAACATGACATTTATTGGTCAGGTTATTACACTGGTTGTCTATTTTGTTATTGTTTTATTTTAGTTTTTAGAAAGGATTAATGTAAAAAAGATTTAGAGATCTGTTTCTTAAAGCTACAGGGTTTAAAAATAAAATAACAATGAATGAAAATACTTGATGTTTCTTGAAAGATAAATTTAATAATAAATAATACATAAATAATACATAAATAAAAAAGAAAGCCACAGGCCTGTAAATTTTATTTGTAAAAAAAGCATTTCTATTTTTGTACAAAATTTTTACTGCCTCAGAAATAATGGAAGTTATTTATTGCCTATTGTTAACTTATTGGGTACCTAAAAAGCAGTTCTCTGTGCTAGTTAGATCCTTTTGAAGTAGTCTCTAAAGGAATCGTTCTAGGAATGGGTTTTTTTTTTCACCGTTGAACCCTAGGCCTGAAGTTCATGCTTTATCCTCTTGTTGTTTGTATCTGTCTGATTATTTTGTTTGTAACTTCCATTATCTAGTTTGCAGTTCAGTTGTCTGACTTTCCCCTTATGTTACATTTGTTGAAACTGGATCCTCCCTGTCCCTTGCCAGCCCCTCACCCCAAAACACTGGGAATCCATCCCCTCTCCCTCTCCGGATGGATTCTCTTGGGGTTCCATTGTGCTGTGATAAAGATTGTTAAGAAATGCAAATTATGTGGATGGCTAGTAGACTCCCTAATGACCTAAGATTTGCATTAGTTTTTCTCCCGCACCCTTAAGAGTGATTTTGTTGCTGCTGCGTAGACTCTGTGTAACTTTTTCCTCTCCCTTGTTTTCTCCCTAGACATCTTCATGCCTGTTAGTTCACCGTTTGCCTAGCATGTCCCTGTGGCGTCTCAAAAAAAAGTTTCATCGTCCCGTCATTGTTTCTGATGTCTTTCTGACCTCACATCATATTTGGTTCTCCTACTGACCTTTGATCTAGTTTGACCTTTGAAATTTGCATGTGACCTCATCTAGCTATGAATTCTGGGAAGTCAATGTGAAAAACATTGCTGCATTCATGCAAGACTGAAATTTATTATTAGAAAAAAATAATTATAGAAAAAAACCTGTGGCAAAATGTTTTTCTTATTTTTTTTTTCTTTTCATAAAACAGACTTGAAAGTATTATACAGGGATTGGCATTCTTCCCGGTCACTGGTAACAATAGCAATATGTGTCCAGGGACACAGAATGTTGGTTTCTAACAGACTACTTCCAAAAACAGTTTGAGAAAAAAACTGTCTGATTTTAAGTCTCTAGAGGTCTGTAATAGTTTTTACATTTTTCAGGCAGTGTAAAGTTTTTTGATAAGGCCATTTTAGGTGGCTCACTTTCTCATTAAGATATATATATAGAACCACTTTTTGTAGATTAGTATAAGAAAAATATTTACCCTGTTTTGGGGCAAATGCTACCTATTTGTGTCACCTTTTGCTGAACTGACTCACAGTTAGACAATCCATGGTTTAATGCACATGAAATTACCTATATTTTATACTGTTTCAATGTACAGGAGAAAGGTTACTGTAAACTGTGTTGCGTTGGTGCTTCTGTGAATTAAGTTGTGGTTTCATCATGAGTCTTATGGTCTTAATGTTCTTTGTTGATAAGACAAGTTTAGAATTGATTTACTTAAAAAAGAATTTCAAAAAAAAGTTGTTTGCTTAAAAAAAAAAAATTTCATGTGAGGGGGGGAAAAAAAACTATTCCAGAATAAGTTTTGTGTTGGCTTGTAAAGCATTGATGTCATTTTTTTTTTATTGTGGACTATTTAGATGTGTTTGTGTTCAGCAAAATGTGATTTTTTTTTCTTTTAAAGAAAAAAAGTGAAAATATATAGTGCCAAATTCCAAAGGTACTTCCTTCCTAGAGCTTCAGTGTGTTTCTTGTGAGAAGTAATTTGATAACATGGGTATTTTATTATGTGTTTTGTATAAATCCCTAATATTTAAAAAACAAAAAACAGAAAAAAAAGAGGTTAAAAAGTTTGTTAACTTGCTATCCTGTGGTCTTGTTGCCTGAAATTGTTAATGTTTGTTATTTCTCTATGATGTTTTTTGTAAGACATTGTATAAGTGCCCATGTCTCACTTTTTTAACCACTCTGCACATCAATGCTGTGATGGCAACCTCACAATGTATTTTCTTCATAATATATGGAAACCTCTAAGGTGAGAAAGTTTTGAACTTTTAACCCTTTCTACCCAGAGCTATCTGGAATGTTGATAACTTTTATACTGTCATTTAGTTTGTTTTGGGGTGATTCTAATTTGGATTTTTGCCCCCCTACATCTATCTTCTCTGAGTTGTTTTTGCCTTTACTACTTTTTTATCCTTTGGTTGAGATCCAAAAGAAAAAAACTCCACAAGGCAAATCTGCAGGAAAAATATATAAGTATCTTGAACCCTCTCTGCTTTTTTCCCCCCTTCACCATTTTTTTTTTTTTACTTCTGATTATTTCTGGTCATTTAAAAAAAAAAAAAGAATTCTTAATGTGCTGCTAGAATTCCTTCTGTTTAAAAACAGTTTATTAAGTAAACTTTCTGAGAGGGATGGTGGGTAGATTCAGCACCTAACTAAACCTTCAATTCTGTATGCTATTGAGATCACATGTAGTGGTATGTTCCAGTTAAGGATTTTTCATTACCTTCCAGATAAATGATGTGGTAATGGGGTAGTTTTTTGAGGTATTTTTGCTTTTTTTTCCTAAATACTCCTAATTAATATTTCTAATCAGCCATTGTGCTGGGGATTTCTCTGACTCTGTGGGCACCTCCGATAAGCAAGGTGTCTGGAGTTAGTTGAGAGTCCTTTCCCCTTCATACGTGTCTAATTTTTTAATTGAATGCATGTACTGACCACTTAAGTAAAACTCAGTTCTCTAGCCCAGTTACTGACCAAATACCCAGCCTCAGTTCCTGCTGCCACTTTTTAAAGTGCCATGTTACTTTGACTTTTACTTCACGTAAACAGATCTCCTTGCTGTCCTGACAAAGCCCAGTGTCCTCCCAGCAGCCCCAA